GAAAAGATAGAGAATCTTTTCCTGATCATAATGACACCAAAAGTATGAAATTTGATGGAAAACTTACGGAATTATGCTCTCGATGATGTTTACGCATAGTCAATTTTGCCCACTCTGAGCCATATTTTCGGCCAATTCAAGTGCACTAGTCGACAAAAATCATAACTATTTTGCTAGAACTCCATTTTTTACTATCGAATGAGTACAAGAAACCAATTTAGCAATTTTGCCAATTTCACACAAATTTCAAAAGATGCCAATTTCCAAATAGGGTCCAGAATAAACAAGAAAGACATTCCTGGCACTAAAATAACATTTCCTCTGTTCATTAGTCATGTCCCCACGCCCCTCTTATATTTCTTTTGCTTTCCACTTTGATTTCTTATTCTCACAAGAAAAATAAGATTTACTGTTATGCAGACTACTGCATTAGTGTAGAAATGGTATAAATAATACTGACACACTTGTGAAAGAATATTGGACTCACCAGTTGACGCGTATTGGACGCTTAGCATGATTTGTTAACTTTTGAACTTTGGTAAAAATCGAACATTTCTGCTACTTTGAGTGCAATTTCAAGATACTTTTCATTGTAAAACCAGTCGAAATCATCTCAATTTCTGTAATATGTCTTCCATTCTATAAAATGAGACCAGGAAAACTAGAATACAACAATAAATACCATACGAAAATACAGTGCAAAGTCGCTGTTTTAAACCAGAAACACGGTCAAGTTTTTTTTTTCTCATTACGCACTGTGTGCTGCAGGATTTTTTTTATACTGCACAAACTGACCACAAAGACCCATTCTTTCATATGTAGGCCTACCAGCTTTCTCTTGCTAGATTTGAGGGCGCTAGAATTTATGCGTACTAGTACGTCAAAAACCCTGGCGCGTAAGCCATACTAGTACGGCCGAAACCCCGAAAGGGTTAAACAACCATGGTGGCATTACATATCCCTGTTTAAGACCTCATTTTAAACCCGGAAGTAGTCCCCCCTCTTCACACACCCTAAACCTGAGCCCACAATCCTCATAAAAACTCTTTACAGCATTTAGTAACTTACCCCCTATTCCATATACTTGCAACATCTGCCACATTGCTCCCCTATCCATCTATCAATCCTTTTACTAAATCCATAAATGCAATAAAAACCTTCCCCACCCTTTATCTAAATACTATTCACATATAGCTTCAATGTAAACATTATCTACAGATCCCCTACCCAAATCTAAAACTTCCCCTTTCCATCCCCAATGCTACATTCTGTCTATACCTCTAATTTTTTTTTCAATAATTTCCTTACTGTAACACTTTTTTCCTGTATACTCAGTAAACTAATTCCTCTATAATTTTTACAATCTCTTTTGTCCCCCTTCCTTTTATATAAAGGAACTATACATGCTCTCTGCCCCAATCCCTAGGTACCTTCCCCTCTTTCATACATTTATTAAACAAAAATACCAACCACTCTAACACTTTATCTTCCCCCTGCTTTTAACATTTCTGTCGTGATCCCGTCAATTACCACCTTTCATTCTACGTAATGCCTCACCGCACCTTCCCCCCCCACACTCCATATCCTGCCTTCTTCACTCCTAAAAATGGTATACCTTCCTGGCCAATGCAAATGAAATTACCGCATTCCCTTTCTTTCGTTACATTTAAAAAGTTTCCTCAAAATATTCCCCCATCTACCCAACACCTCCATCCTCCCCATCACTAACTCCCCTACTCTGTTTTTGACTGACAAATCCAATTCTTTCCCTAGCTTTCCTTAAACTTAACTACTTCACCAAAACTGTTTTTTCTTATTTTCATTAAAATTTCTTGACAGTGCCTCTCCCAACTCTATCATCTCTCTCCCTCTTCACTCTTCCACCACTCTCCCTTCACCTTTCCTTTTGCTCTTCCCACATACTCTACTCTTCTTAGCACACTTCTGCTTTGTAAAAACCTCTCATAGGCTACCTTTTTCTCTTTTATCACACCCTTTACTTCATCATTCCACCAACCACTTCTCTTTCCTCCCGCACCCACCCTCCTATAACCACAAACTTCTGCCCCACATTCTAATACTGCATTTTAAAATATTCAAATTCAAATTCAAATTCAAAGTTTATTCTCTATAAGGATTACAATGCTGAGTTTACAGAATTTGGTTATTGTGTGGTTTACATGTAGTAAAATAATAATTACAGAGTGTACCACTAGAACACCTAGCATGGCTAGGCATTTCGGGCAGACTTAAATTAAATCTTAAGTTTAAAATATTACAAAATTATGAGGTAAGTTGGTATTATGGCTAAGTGACTAAATACTAGTTTGTGAGTTTAGCAATGTGAATGCTTTTGTTTTGGCACTATACATAGTTTCAGTATTGGAGTATCACAGGATTCATTATTTTAAGATTTTGAGATTAAGATTGATATTTCTGTTTATGGTCAAATGGGTGAGTGAGTGTAAATGTTAACCACCAGGTGGTATTCATGTAATTAGTTGACAGGGTGTATCAGGGAGATAAGATGTTTTCTGATGGTAGTTTTGAAGGTGATGAATGTGTTTGCAGTTTTAGAATTTTCAGGTAGGGTGTTCCAGATTTTAGGGCCTTTGACATACATTGAATTTTTGTAAAGGTTTAGTCGGACACGGGGAATGTCGTAGAGATGTTTGTGTCTGGTGTTGTGCCTGTGGGTTCTGTCGATTCAACCCTCTTCAAACCCCTTACTACTCATACTTGCTCTAGCCCACCTTTCTGCCAATAGTTGCTTATATCTCACCCGAACTTCCTCCTCCCATATTTTATACACTTTCACCTCCCTCTTACTTGTTGTTGCCATTTTCCTCTTGTCCCATCTACCTCTTACTCTAACTGTAGCTACAACTAAATAATGGTCCATATATCAGTTGTCCCTCTATAAACATGTACATCCTGGAGCCTACCCATCAACCTTTTATCCACTAACAAACTACTTTCATTACATGCTATATCATATCTTGTATATTTATTTATCCTCTTTTTCGTAAAATATGTATTACTTATTACCAAACCTCTTTCTACACATAGTTCAATTACAGACTCCCCATTTTCATTTACCTCTGGCACCCCAAATTAACCTACTACTCCCTCTACAACATTTTTACCCACTTTAAAATTGAAATCCCCAACCACAAGTACTTTCACACTTGGTTCAAAACTCCCCACACGTTCACTCAACATTTCCCAAAATCTCTCTCTCTCTCTCTCTACACTTCTTTCTTCTCCAGGTGCATATACACTTACTATAACCCACTTTTCACATCCAACCTTTATTTTACTCCACATAATCCTTGAATTAATACATTTATACTCCCTCTTTTCCTGCCATAACTTATCCTTCAACATTATTGCTACTCCTTCTTTAGCTCTAACTCTATTTGAAACCCCTGACCTAATCCCATTTATTTCTCTCCACTGAAACTCTCCCACCCCCTTCAGCTTTGTTTCACTTAAAGCCAGGACATCCAGCTTCTCATTCATAACATCAACAATCATCTCTTTCTCATCATTTGCACAACATCCACGCACATTCAGGCATCCCACTTTGACAATTTTCTTCTTCTTATTCTTTTTAGTAATCTTTACAGGAAAAGGGGTTACTAGCCCATTGTTCCCGGCATTTTAGTTAACTTTTACAACACGCATGGCTTACGGAGGAAAGATTCTTATTCCACTTCCCCATGGATATAAAAGGAAAAATAATAAGAACAAGAACTATTAAGATAAAATCAAAGAAAACTCAGATGAGTGAGTATAAATAAACGTGTACATGTATGTGTAGTGTGACCTAAGTGTAAGTAGAAGTAGCAAGATGTACCTATAATCTTGCATATTTATGAGACAGATAAAAGACACCAGCAATCCTACCATCATGTAAAACAATTACAGGCTCTCGTTTTACACTCACTTGGCGGCAGGATGGTAGTACCTCCCTGGGTGGTTGCTGTCTACCAACCTACTACCACCCAACTTATAGACTCATAAAGAGCTGGTGGAGCAGAAAGAGTGACCCAGTAGCAGGCAGTGAAGAGGTGGGGCCAGGAACCGTGACTCGACCCTTGCAACCACAAATAATTGACATCTAGAGTTGCGAATTCGTGGAATTCGACCATATAAATATCTGCAACCATCATAAAGTATTTCACTGTTCTTTTTCCATTTAAAATTGTTACCAACTGGTCCAGACCCCCCCCCACACACACACACTGGGAGACAGTGGATCTAGTTCCTACAATGCACCATTGGCTCCCTGATTTTTTTACACTGCGCACACTGACCACACAGACTCATTTTCTTACATGTAGGCCTACTAGCTTTCTCCTGCTAGATTTGAAGCTGCTAGAATTTTGGTGTAGTACCATGGCACCAACACTAGCTCATAAGCCATAATACTATGGCACCAACAGTGAAAGGGTTATAAAAAAACAAAAAAGAAATAAAAAATTCAAAATATTCGGAGTGCTCACAGTGAAAATGTAGATACAGTGGAACCTCAAAAATCGAACTGCTCCCAACACAACCAATTATGTAAGTGTATTTTTGTAAGTGCTTTTATGAGTGTATTTTTGAGGGTCTGAAATGGACTAATCTAATTTACATTATTCCTGATGGGAATAAATTCATTCGGTAAAGGCACTCGAACAGCCTTCTGGACTGAAGAAAGTTCGATATTTGAGGTTCCACTGTATATACGTTTGGACAGTCTAAGGGTTAAAAATGACTCTGATGAGTTCAACAAAAGAATTTAGCTATCACTACACAAAGCCAATGCCACTAGCATAAAGCAAGAAAATTTATAAGAAATTAGATATTATACAGACTTGTTAAGAAAATCTTAAAACAATGACCCTACAGTGAATTTTACATACGAGGTATGTCAAGGATTACTGCACATAAAAATGTTGCGTGTTTCCAAGGAGGAATTTAATACAACATTGTAAAACAAGAAGTGAAGGTACCTAGGGGTTTGATGTGGCTACAAGCAAGTTTGTAGTGCAAAGAATCAGGAGAATATTTTATCTTCAGAGGATCAAGGTTACTCTCTCCTCTCTCTCGATACTTTTTGTCACGATTCTGGAAAAAAAGAAACAACGCACTTTTAAATCAAATACACAGAAAAGCATTAAACAAGAAATATTTCATGCAATCTGTATTTTATGAGTTCAGAACTAATAAACTATAATTTGTTTTACAGCTAATTGTACTGTCAGCACAGCGCCTATGCCGTCTGCCAGCTTAGTTCATATTTCGTGGCATTTAAGTGCTGCCCTCTGTAGGCTCACCCAGGTCAGTGGGATGCTGGACCCATTCATCCTCACTCCCCGGCCGACCGACTTGATAGGCACAAGTACTCCCCCTCCACGGACTGGCTATCGGTCATTCCCTCACATTGCCCATTGTGTACTCACTCCTTTATAATTAAAGCCAAACTAGTCCACGGCCGTATTATTGCTACTTACGCTACCTCCATCGGCACTAAACCGTTGCTCAACAGCAAGAACAGTAATAACAGTGGTGGCAGCGGTGGGATTGGCACTGTGAGCCTACTCTCGGGGTGGAGGGGTCGACATCATCCGTCATCATCCAACGCACCTGCTGGCCTAAAGAGTTATCTGTTACTCCCAGCGTCTTGACGGGGCCTGAGATAGATCTTCGTCCTAGATTTTTCCCACAAAATCTGGACATAGGCATCACGCCGTCACCTCCAGCCTTCGCAGTCACGTGTTCACCTCATTGCCCTCTCTGCAGCCCTTCAGCACTCTCCAGCACCATTCTCCTGCCTCCTACAGCGTCCCTATGCCCTTCTCAGCTACAAGAAGTAGAGGTGAGGTCGTTTTAGTGTGTTGGCTTCACATGGCTCCACATTTCTGCGTGTACACACTCGCCTTCTCCTACAACCTTCTCTGCTACGCAACTACGTCCATCTCGCCATCAGTGTATGTTGTGTTCCTCGCAGTTTCCTCCAAGAAGTTCTACCCGGCTTAACCACATGGGGACCCAGTTGGCTTAGCCCCTAAGCCAGCCCAGTTCAGCCCCCACGTCATCTACAGCAGTTCGTGACTCATCTTTGTGTCTACAACCACTCAACGCCTACGTATCCTCAGCCAGTGCAGTTTTTTTTTTTTTGTGTTGCCCAGTTAAATTTTTCTTTTCCTTGCTGTTACATTCCCAGTTCATCACCAGTTCTTGATTTTCCCCAGTGCATAGTTACAGTAAAACCTCCTCGTACCAGTTCATAGCTTCACCTAAGTTTTTTTTTTAGCACGTTTATGTAGTGCAGTAAGTGTTTTGTTCTCTGTGTGCTGAAGCTGCAGTCAGTCAGCGCACCCAGACATGCTTGCCAATGTAACCAAACCACGCACCACGGTGATGCCGAGCTAGCCACGTTTTCTTATATATTCTATGTCCACAGAGTTCTCTGGCCTTCCCTGTTCTTCACAAGTTCATTCTGATAATTTTTCCTACGTCATTGAAGCCCCATAGCAGTGTACAAATGCTTCGAGGCGTGTAGTGTTACCAGTGCATCACTGAAAGTTTCAGGACCTGCAGTGCCCCGTACCTTCGTCCATCTCCTGCACTCAAAGTTAAGCAATGCACCAACCTGTTCACAAAGCTTTCAAATGAACAAAAAGGTGCAATGAAATATTTTGTTGTATTTTAGACAAATTTACCTTTTGATGACCCCCAGATCTGAAGTGTTCAGCCACGGCTGTCTCTGAGTTCATTTCTCTGTTACAAATCTGTTAGAGAGAGAACAGTTATTTAATTTTTCTTATATACATAAAATGTTCACATAATTTATTTCTTGGACATGCTTCTTTATGGTTCAAACAAACAAAAGCAAATTAGTGAAGGAAAAAGTATATCTAAATGAATATTTCCTTGTGATAACTGAAATCTGAATGACCTGCAATGACCCGAGAAAATTTTCTGTTAGTTCACCTAAGTAATTATGCAACTCAGCATTATAATTTGTGTGGAAAACACTGCATGGGAGAGATGAAAAAGCTGGTATGGAAAAGAATGGGACATAGATATGTTCAGGGAAGTAAACATCCTGAAACCATGTGCAGCCACAACTGTAACAAATTAGTGCCAGGTAAAGAATCAAGGTGTCAACTACAAAAGTGGAATCTTCAGAAATGTGTGCATAAAGTTATCATGTGAGGGCATTATACAAGGTTTCTGAAGTTTTAGTTCCTACAATAACTATTTTGGTGCCAAATGTATTAGTCAATACAGTTACAAGTATTACTTCATGAAGCATGTATAAGCTGAGACAGGTTACAAGAGCTTTTCTACCCTTCAACCTAGACAAGGCCAGGCATCCCTGATGACCAATGGTCAACCAGGCTGTTTGTGCTGGCAGTCCACAAGGCTGTTCAGTTTTTTCCCAAAAACTTCTGTCTTCATTTCAGCAATATACAGCCTCTCCTCACTTAACGACGGAGTTCCATTCCTAAGACGACGCCAGTAAACAAATTCATTGCTAAGTGAGGAGCATACTATAATGGAAGTGGATTTGTGTCAACCATCTTTGATATTGTTTTAATGTAACCTCTGCACCATTTATAACATTTCTGGTATATTTTTAAATGTTTATACAGTAGTGTGCTGTATACTGTATTAAACAGAATAGAGGAAATCAACTCTAATATGTATACATTATTTAGGTATGCATACTGATCAGGGAGCCCATTGTAAGTCTGAGTTGTCGACAAACGAGAATGTCACTAAGTGAGGAGAGGCTATATATAATAATTGTTGGTAAACAAACCATACCACGGGCGGGATTTGAACCCGCGGTCAGAGTCTCAAAACTCCAGACCATTACATTAGCCACTGGACCAGCTAGCCACAATAAGATTCATCCAACTAGGTATATTTCTACACTATAGGAAGGCTAGCTGGAGATTCGTCTGTAAAAACTTGCATTTGTGGTCACAGTGGTGTCTATGCTAACCTTCCTATGGTGTAGAAATATACCTAGTTGGATGAATCTTATTGTGGCTAGCTGGTCTAGTGCCTAACACGACAGTCTAGAGTTTTGAGACTCTCTGACCACGGATTCAAATCCTGCCCATGGTATGGTTTGTTTGCAATCGTGTCATTACGATTTCACGAGTCATAATTGTTGATAATATGTTGAAGAGTCTAGGGTCACACATGTTAACAATGTTCTCCAACTGTACCCATGAATTCCCTGTTCTTCACTGGGTTTATTTTAAACTTTTCCTCTTTCACTACAGTAAGTTGTAACAAAAGTGTGAAGGTTTGAGGTCAGATCTTCAAGTATCTTCCATGTATATACTAATAGAAATATCTTTTCATCTTCATTCAGAGAGAAAAATCGAAGTGCATTCCGAGGTTCCAAACAGTTTAGATTTCCTTGTTTCCTATGATAAAAGTACATAACTTGTTCACATGTTGCAGCTCCAATATTTCGTCTGCCTAGAAAGTCACTCTCTGCACAGAACAAAATTGAAGTAATGAGAGCAAAGGTTTACCTGGAGTTTACCTGGAAAGGGTTTCGGGGGTCAACGTCCCCGCAGCTCGATCTGAGGCCAGGCCTCATGGTGGATCAGGGTCTGATCAACCAAGCTGTTACTGCTGGCCACACACAAACTGATGTACGAACCACAGCCTGGTTGGTCAGGTACTGACTTTAGATGCCTGTCCAGTGCCTTCTTGAAGACAGCCAGGGGTCTATTGGTAATCCCCCTTATGTATGCTGGGAGGCAGCTGAACAGTCTTAAGCCCCAGACACTTATTGTGTTGTCTCTCAATGTACTCGTGGTTGCCCTGCTTTTTATCGGAGGAATGTTGCATCTCCTGCCGAGTCTTCTGCTTTCATAGGGAGTGATTTTTTTGTGTGCAGGTTTGGTACCAATCCCTCCAGGACCTTCCAAGTACAGTATATATTATCACGTATCTCCCTCGCCTGCATTCCAGGGAATATAGATCAAGGACCTTCAATCGTTCCCAGAAATTTAAGTGCCTTATCACACTTATGTGTGCTGTGAAAGTTCTTTGTATGCTCTCAGGTCTGCAATGTCGCCAGCCATGAAGGGAGCTACTAGTGTACAGCAGTATTTCGCCTAGAGAGAACAAGTGTTGCACTCCCTGAATGGGTCAAATGTATATAATGTATATTACCTTTTCATATAATTTTATATTGCTTATATTTGCGATAATAGCTAAATTGTAAATATATTGGTTTATATTATTTGACTTAGTTATATTGTTAGGTAGGATGTAACATTCATATATTATTCAGTGCTCACAGTTCAAGTCTTGATTGTCTAACTACTGTAGTCATCGCTCGTGGCTCATTACTCTGCAGGCTTCTTGGTGTTGCTGGGCAGCAACTGTCCATGGAGCTATCACGTGATAGAGATGGGGTGTTCACACCTCGCCTGGAGTAGTCAGTCTGGGCTAGACTCTCTTGGTGGTTGGACGTGTTCCTGACAAGACGTGCCTAACTCTCCCTTATTGGCCCTTGCTGGAAGATCGTCTCTGTCGCTTTATTGTTGTAGGTTCTGTGGAACTCTGTTCACAGAACATTGTCTAGACTTAGTGATTTTTGATGTACTGAGGTTGTGTGTCACATAGACACTCTGAGCAACTCAGGTCCTGAGCTGTAGCTTCTGACCTAATTTGTACTGGTATCTGTGTGCTGTCACAGTCCGGGATTTTCTTATGCTGAACTTAGATTCAGTAGTATGGGAGTTTGGTGACTTTTGTGGAGGATCTGCAGATGGTCCCTACTTAGTGTCGTTATATTATCTCCTTGATCCTGATTCTGTGTCACAGTTGCTTGTTATATTGCTATTGGGCTTAGCGGTCGTTTATTGTTCAAGCAAGCTGTTCTGATTGCCAGGTGGTCAAGAAGTTAGTTTATGTGAGGACTTTGTCAGTCACTGGTTTAAGTCTTGTCGAGTTTTGAGACATAGCGAACTACTTAGAGCACTTATACACACATACACAAACTTATTTGTACATATTTGTAATATCTTATTAAATGTTAATGTATCAGACAGTACTTAAGATATAAAGATGTGATATGTGCCTTCAGCATAATACTACTGTACACAAGACAAGTGATTATTATTAATTTGTTTAAATTGATTAATTTATTTTAATTTGATAATATACTCCTAGACATCTTGATTGTTAATAAATTTATTAAATTTTAATTTCTCTAGTTAGTAGCCTACCAGTTGTAATCCTGAAGCACTAATAATTCTTAATGAATTCTAATGGATAATTGGACCAGGATTCTGACTAATTGTTACGAAAACCCAGTAACAGGCTGAATGCTAGAAGGGCTGTCCTTTCTAGTATTCACTGGAGATCTCTATGCTTATTAGAAATAGCATTTTTTGTAACAGGCAATTTGAAAAGTGTCATCATGGGCTTGGTGTCCCTAGATTTTAAAGGTTCTCATTATCCATCCTATCATTTTCCTAGCCAATGAGGTAGATACATTGTTGTGGTCTTTGAAGGCGAGATCCTCTGACATTATCACTCCCAGGTCCTTCACATTTCTTTTTTGCTCTATTGTATGGTTAAAACTGTTGTATACCCGGATACATTTTTAATTTCCTCAAGTCTTCAATATCTGAGTAGTTGAAATTTCTCCTCATTGAACTTCATCTTGTTTTGAGTGGCCCATTTGAAGATTTATTTGATGTCCACTTGGAGTCTTGCAATGTCTTCAATGGAGGTCACTGCCATGGCAATCCGGGTGCCATCCGCAAAGGAAGACACAGAGCTATGGCTTACATCTCTGTCTATGTCAGAAGTGGGGATGAGGAATAGAATGGGAGCGAGTACTGTGCCTTGTGGAACAGAGCTTTTCACCATAGCTGCCTCAGACTTTGCTCTGTTTACTATTACTCTGTGTTCTATTTGTTAGGAGGTTATAGATCCATCTACCAACTTTTCCTGTTATTCCTTTATCACACATTTTGTGTGCTATTACACCATGGTCACACTTGTCAAAAGCTTTTGCAAAGTATGTGTATACTACATCTATCATTATTTTTTTATTATCACACTGGCTGATTCCCACCAGGGCAGGGTGGCCCGAAAAAGAAAAACTTTCACCATCATTCACTCCATCACTGTCTTGCCAGAAGGGTGCTTTACACTACAGTTTTTAAACTGCAACATTAACACCCCTCCTTCAGAGTGCAGGCACTGTACTTCCCATCTCCAGGACTCAAGTCCGGCATGCCGGTTTCCCTGAATCCCTTCATAAATGTTACTTTGCTCACACTCCAACAGCACGTCAAGTATTAAAAACCATTTGTCTCCATTCACTCCTATCAAGCACGCTCATGCATGCCTGCTGGAAGTCCTAGCCCCTCGCACACAAAACCTCCTATACCCCCTCCCTCCAACCTTTCCTAGGCTGATCCCTACCCCGCCTTCCTTCCACTACAGACTGATGCACTCTTGAAGTCATTCTGTTTCGCTCCATTCTCTCTACATGTCCGAACCACCTCAACAACCCTTCCTCAGCCCTCTGGACAACAGTTTTGGTAATCCCGCACCTCCTCCTAACTTCCAAACTACGAATTCTCTGCATTATATTCACACCACACATTGCTCTCAGACATGACATCTCCACTGCCTCCAGCCTTCTCCTCGCTGCAACATTCATCACCCATGCTTCACTCCCATATAAGAGCGTTGGTAAAACTATACTCTCATACATTCCCCTCTTTGCCTCCAA